CACACACAAAGAGACAGGGGGTACTTCCATCTGTTCCTTCACACTGCAAATGCCATCAATAGTCACAGCAAGGCGGGGCCCAAGGCAGGACATGGGATCACAATACAGGTCTATCATGTAGGACCCAACACCATTGTCTTTCAATGTCTACATTGGCAAGAAGCTGGAGATTTAAGGCAGAGTCAGGAATCATACCCATACACTCAATGTGAGGTTCCAGCATCTTAACTACCAGGCTAAATGCCCACTTTTTTTTTTTTTTTTTTTTGACAGGCAGAGTGGACAGTGAGAGAGAGAGAGACAGAGAGAAAGAGAGAAAGGTCTTCCTTTGCCGTTGGTTCACCCTCCAATGGCCACTGCGGCCGGCGCTCTGCGGGCCGGCGCACCGCGCTGATCCGATGGCAGGAGCCAGGTACTTATCCTGGTCTCCCATGGGGTGCAGGGCCCAAGCACTTGGGCCATCCTCCACTGCACTCCCTGGCCACAGCAGAGAGCTGGCCTGGAAGAGGGGCAACCGGGACAGAATCCGGCGCCCCGACCGGGACTAGAACCCGGTGTGCCGGCACCGCAAGGCGGAGGATTAGCCTAGTGAGCCGCGGCGCTGGCCTCAGCCAAGTCTTTTTAATGCCTGAGTGGAGTTCCCACTGTACGAACAGACCACAATTTACGTATTTACTCTCCTGTTGATGGGCATCTGGGCTGTTTCCAGCTCTTGGCTATTGTGAATAATGCTGTCATGAACATTCCTGTACAACTCTTCTCTTATGGACCTACGCTATGTGGAAGATCTAGGTAAATGGTTCACTGTTCATTTAAATTTAGAAGAAACTGTCAAATTCTAACAGTTCTAACAGTTTCCATTACCATGAGCAATGGAAAAGAGTTTCAGTTATACTGCAGTATTGTGAACACTTGGTTTGGTTAGTCTTTAATTCTGTTCATTCTAGTCAATGTGGAATGGTAGCAAATTGACTAACACTGCTGAGAGGCCTTCAATGTGGAATAGTGGCTAAACCGCTGCCTGTGCTGGCCGCATCCCACATGGGCACTGATTTGAGTCCTGGCTGCTCCACTTTTGATCCAGCTCCCTGCTAGTGGGCCTGGGAAAGCAGCGGAGGATGGCCCAAGTGCTTGGACCCCTGCCATCCATGTGGGAGTCTCAAATAAAGCTCCTTGCTTTGGCCTGGCCTAGCCCTAGCTGTTCATTTAGGGGAATGAACCAGCAGATGGAAGATCTCTGTCTCTCTCTAACTCTGCCTTTCAAAAAAATGAATAAATAAATCTCAAGGGGCCAGTGCTGTGGCCTACTGGGTAAAGGCGCTGCCTGCAGTGCCAGTGTCCCATATGGGTGCTAGTTCCAGTCCTGGCTGCTCGCTTCCAGTCCAGCTCCCTACCAGTGCTCCTGGGAAAGCATCAGAGGAGGGCCCGAGTGCTGGGCCCCGACCCACGTGGGAGACCTGGAAGCAGCTCCTGGCTCCTGGCTTTGGATCCACGCAACTCCAGCCCAGAACCAACAGATGGAAGAGCTCTCTCTGTCTCTCTCTCTCTAACTCTGCTTTCAAATAAATAAATAAATCTTTTAAAAAATAATCTTAAAAAATAACTTAGGACTACTTTTACAGCGTGTACAGTCATTTGTGCATGTTCTGTTAGAAGTGTCCATCAAGTCTCTTTGTGAGATACGTGTTTAGTGAAAATTTTATCCCAGTTGCTGGCTATCTATTTATTTTCTTAAGAGTCTTTCAATACACAGAACATTTTATTTTGATGGTCTATTTTATTAATTCCATTTTGCGGTTACTCTATGAGTTCTTACAAAATCACAACATCCAGGGCTGGGCCAGGCTGAAGCTGGGAGCCTGGAGCTCCCATCCAGTTCTCTTTCGTGGGTGGCAAAGTTCAATCACGTGGGCCATCCTCTGCTGCCTTCCCAGATGCAGTAACAGGAAGCTGAGTGGGATATGGAGAAGCCAGGACTTAAACCTACACTATAATTTGGGATACGGGCATCTCAAGTGGTAGTCTAACCTCCTATGCCACAATGCCCACCCTTCCATTTACTTATTCTTATGCTGATACCACATTGTCTTGATTGCTGTAGTTTTACAGTAAATTTTAAAAAATATTTATTTACTTGAAAGGCAGAGTTACAGAGAGGCAGAGGCAGAGAGAGAAGTCTTCCATCCACTGGTTCTCTCCCCAATGGCTGCAATGGCTGACACTGGGCTGATCCAAAGCCAGGAGCCAGGAGCTTCCTCTGAGTCTCCCACATGGGTGCAGGGGCCCAAACACCTGGGCCATCTTCTACTACTTTCCCAGGCCATAGCAGAGAGCTGGATTCGCAGTGGAGCAATGGGACTTGAACTGGCATCCATATGGGATGCAGATACTGCAGGCGG